GAAGTAGATTTGTTTGACAAGGCTTATTTTCCATAGAACTATGTTGACTAGCATTAATTATATTCCTATCTTTTAATAATTTATTAATTGAATGTCTTCTCAGCTTTTTCATTATTTTGCCCTGGATGATGTTGGGCTAACCACCCTCAGGGTACAGGGGCCACTTACTTGTCCTTTACAAAGCACCAGTACAACATTTAGCACTACTACTTATTGGAATATTGTTGACATTGTTGATGATTCATTGGGGTCCTGTGAATATAGTCTCATTTTCACCCTTAGCATACTGGGGATAATCCTAGATACTTTTTTTCTTGATGGAAAAATCTCATGCACAATTGTAGAAGTAAAATATTTAACAGTTGTGTAAACAAACTACTGCAGACCTAGTCATGACATTGTGAAATACATTAGAAAAGAAAGTAAAATTAATGTTAGTGTGGGAAAAGTTGTTACACAATTCTACCACAGTTTTACAACAACATCAGGATGTGTGCTCAGATTAGAAAGAGTAGTTGAAGAAGTTAGTTGGAATATACATCTGCAATTCTGAAAGGCAGTTAAGTTCTTATTCTCAAAACTGGTTTGCCAGTGGTATGTAAAATAGAAATAGATGTAGTCAGTTACATTTGCATGAGGTTCTGTTCTGGATTACAAAATCCCTCTCAAAGTGTTGATTTCTGTTCTGGTTTTGCTCTGCTTGAATTTGAGGTCAGGCTGGATGCTTTCAGTTCCCTGAACGACTAACGCTTCTGGTTCTGATTTGGCTCTAATTTCACCATGATTAAGCAAGCAAAATCAGTGACAAAAAGGTGTCTGGAAAGGGCAGATAATGTCTTTACTGTTGGATTTTTTTTCTATCCTTTCCTTTTTCCTTTTTCTCTTCCTATTTTCCTTTTTGCTATCCTGTTCTCAAATAATCTCAAATTTGGCGTTAAAGTATATGACTGTGGGAGCTGCAAGAGAATGTCTAGAAGGAGAACCTGCACTCCTCCCACACAGATTTCAAAAGAGTCAAAAGAGAAGATTATGATTTCAACAACACTTCACACCAAGATTAGCACCACTGACTTTCCTGGGAGTTAACATGCTTGCACAATCAGAAGACAGAGTTAACTTCAGGGCTGTGTCTGAGAGTTTCTCTGTCTCTGGAGCTGAGGAAGATCGGGATCAACATCAGAGGCCTGATTCAAAAAAGTTTTAATGATTTCTTACCTGAAAAGTCTCAGACTGCAGAGATTTAAGACATTCATCTGAGAATTTCATATAGCCTGTGACAAGATGTTCTCACAGACCATGAGAAATCCTCAGATGATAAGAGTTTAGAAAAGTGGTCTCACAGTGATACAGGATGATACTCTACTTAGCTTCATGGGTGAAATGGAATACCTTAATTTTTTTTTTATTGGCTGTGTGTGGAAGGGATCTTTTTTGATGGATCTTAAATATGCACATGAATAAGGGCTTCATGAAGCTTAGTGCATGTAGATCTGGACTGTTTTGTCCATGTTTGGTCAGCATCTAAAGCATGTAGACATATTGTGAGATTGAGGGTGGAGCAACAGCTGACTAGTGACTTGAGAATACAAGTCATGGTAGAATAATATATTAAGGTACTGGAAGATCTTTATATATTTAACCTCTAATTCAACCTCTAAATTGTGTTATTTTGGGGTTGCTTTTTTATCTTCTCGTCCAGATCTCACATTTTACAGTTACTTTTACAGATCTTTTATTTAAGTAAGTGAAAATAAAAGTAAATATACTAAAGAGACCTTTATTTTGCACATTTTGTGTAAATATCTTTATATACATACGTAATCTCACTCGATATGGTAATCTCAATAAACTGCAGTGATTACTTGCATTTCAGAATGACCTTCTAGCTCCTTTATTTTTTCATGTTTATTTCCCTGACCTGTTGAACTGAATATTTAAATATCATTTTTTCTCCAGACTTCCAAAAGATTGTCCAGAGTTTCAACATTGAGACTATCGGTTGCAATTTATCTTATTTTCTCCAATTTTTTTTTTGTTTTTGTTTTGTTTCATCTAGTACTGAATAAAATACATTTAAGTTGTAAATGGCCTCTGGAGGTCATCTAGTCCGAATGTCTGCTTGAGGAAAAGTTAGCATCAAAGTTAGATTGCTTGGTGCCTTGTCCAGGCAAGTTTTGAAATCTGCAAGGATGGACATGGATGCAAGGATGCCTCTCTGAGCAATCTGCTCCACTGCTTAACCACTCTTATTACATGGTTAAAATGAAGGTCAGAGTCAAAACCTGATGTTTGTAATTATGGAAATATTTAAAAGAGTTTATTTCATTTTAAACTTTCAAAAAACCTAAATGAAACTTAATATTGCTGATATAAGTTAATACAAATCATCTGGCTTCCCACTGGAGAATAAACAAATCAAACTGTGGTAACTGACAGATCACTATCAGATTTCATAAAATTATTAAATTTTGAGCTTCCTTTCCTATTTCGCATATGTTGCATAGGCAGTTTTATCTGTCATTTTTTATTTTTCAGAGTTTGACTTTGCAGTCTTAGTATTCCTTTAGCATAATAAGACTTCCTTTCTGCTAGTTATTATATATTTCAGTATGATTATAAAAATAAGAGTGCAGCTCTGTTTTGACTTTCTGAAGTGCTGTAGAGGAACACAGGACTGTAACTTTAGGTAGTTTCTTTCTGGAATCATGCCTTAGATCCTGTTTTAACCCCAACAGTTTTGCTTTACATTGACTATGATTTGTGCAGTAAAGGAATTGGAGATATTTGCAAAAGAGAAGCAACCCATCCCATTAGAAAAACTTCAAATTCCAGCTTTAATTTTTTTTCCTGTTTGTGGCAGAACAGTACTGACACTATCTAAGCACTGAAGAAGATCACTTGGGGGAAGTAAGCTTGATTTTTGACTTAGTGATTAGCAGATTTTCTTTCATGGCCCCACTCTGGAGGGATGCTGCAATGGTGTTTTGCAATAATTCTTTGCCCTGGACTGTCAGCTTCTTTTAAGAAAAAAAATAGCGAAAATGAAATGTAGCAGTTGTGCGTATAGCCTTGACGCTGACCTCAACTTCCATTTATTACCCTGAAAGAAGATAAGCTTACAAAGCTGTTGATTTGGATGTTCTATATTTCAGGAAAGAGATCTTTATCAATTTAGGCTGTGTAAGGATTTGGATAGTAGTTACTTTTGATTCAGTGGCACTAGAATTCAGTGCAAACATGAAATACATGTCCATGTTTCTGAAACAGCAACAGAAAACAATGATGTACAGCACATCTTTACTTTGGCCTATAATGGGATTTTCTTCCCCCCCACCCCGCCCTTGCATTTGACCCACAGGTAGATCAATACTTTTCTAATTTGGCATGCTGTAGATTTTATGTTTGAATTCTAATTTAAGAAAACACTCATTGAAGCTGAGAGAATAAGTACATGCCTAAGCATCTGAACAATTTAGGATGAATTTCCACGTATCCTTGCACATGATAAATCAGAGCCTAAATTAACAAGGCATTAAATATATTTGAAAACTAACACAAATGCATTCTAAAACTAACACTTTTGTCAGTTAAGACAAATAATACCACAACTTAAATAAATACAAGATATACATATAGTCTTTAAAACCCTAAATGTGATGCATAGCTTCCTAATATAAAGCATGTGAATGTCTAAACAGTGCATTTAGGATTTTGTAGCAATATTTTAATGGAATGTTATTTAATAACTCTAAGGCTTACATCAAAATAATTAATGTTATATTCATTATTGCATGGCTTAATCTCTTTTACATGACTAGAAAATTAGTTTAAAGAGTCATAATTAAAATAATTCTAGACATGACACAATAATACAATTAAAAATAGAGTAAGTACTCCAATATTGTACAAAAATATAGTTTATTTAAGTGCAAATCCTTTTATAGGCTATTTATCTCTGCTTATGTATGTTAAGGGAATTAAAAAGAAGTTTGCTTAAATGGACTGTTTTTTTTCAGAGAAAATAAGGACTACAAAGCAAGCCTTGCCATTATTTAACTAATATTAATCATACTTAGAGGCCACTTGAGAAAAATTTATTGCAAGAAACCTATGACTAGGCATGCCATAGCAAAAACAGAAAGCCACAGGGCTGAAATGACAGTCCAATTTGTTTTTTTTTGTATGTGGTGTTTCTCTCGCAGTCAAATAGCAGGAGGTGATCTGAAATGGGAGTTGTTTGGAGCAGCAACTGTCAATCTCTGCTATTAAAGAATGGCCTAAAGTCTTACTCAATTAGCCATTTTGATATGACCATTCAGCTTATAAAGTCCTTCCAACTTAAAAAGTGATCTGTCCTCAAGAGGTGATTCAAGGAGATTGCATAATAGTGAGGAATCATCACCTTATTTAACACACTGTTCTTATAAGGTGATATAAATGTGTTTTTTAGGTATGGTGAATGCCTGTTGCTGTTTATGTCACTCGAAGATGATCGAGTTATGTTTTTCTTTATAATTTTGTTCACTGTTGCAAGTATAAAAAGGTATTTCTTTGTGCTATTTATTTTTGAGTGCATATATGCTTGTGGATTTGGTTGGAGTGGTCAGTGATTTCATCAGAGATAAGACTAGATTGAGAAAAAAAGCACGTAACACTTTTGATCTTTCCTCGAGATTGTGTTTATGTTTGCAATGGTATTTTCATTTGATAATTATTCTGAAGCTTTATTCGTCTGTGTTACAGGAAAATAGTAAACAAAAAAGAAATGCCTAAGGGTTCAAAAGTCAAAAAAAAAAAAAGAGAGATTCATAGTAATTCCATACAACAAATATAAAAGATGAATCTGTTCTTTCAAAATTCTTTAGGCGAGTGTGTGATTAAATGCTGTATCTGGAACTTTAGTGACTCTTTCCATTTCTTCACAGGTACAAACACACTTGGAAAATCAGTCTAGATACCATATACAGCAAAGCCAGAGGCACCAGGTGAAACAGTACCTGACCCTCGACACCAAGCTGTCCAGCCAAACACTCTCCCTGTCCCACTCCCACACAATCCAGCCTGCAGGAGTTGCCTCCTTGTTAAGGAATGGACATATGCCTCCCATCAGTGACCTTGGCACCCCGGAAAGCCCAGTTACCAAGCTGTTGGCCCTTGGAGGAGAACACGAAAATGCGGTAGGGATGAGCTGGCAAAAGGAATGGGGAAATGGGTGGGAACTGCCTACTTTTAGAAGTGTGTTGTATGACCCTTCTGGCATTAACTGTGGGCAAGAGATGACTTTTTTTTCACTTTTGTGGGGACTACAGAACCACCTCCTGCTCCCTGAATCCTTCTGGATTGCATGGGTGATTGCCTTAAATGTCATGTGAGTAGCTTGTTGCATGATCAGGTGTCTAAATTACTGCCTGTTTAAATGTACTGATGCATCTTTTTAACTATGTCGTATATTTCTGTACATTTTCTGAACATGTACATTGAAATGCAAACCCTTTTTTTCCAGACGAGAGTTATTTCTTTCTGAAAGTATTATCCTATCTGCATAACAAAGTTAAATACTGATTACTTTAAAGATGTAACTGAAAGAATCATTAATTCATTTTCAGTTAGCTGATATATTTATATATGGGTTATCTTGGGTAAATTGGCATAGATCTGCTAACTTTAGTGCCACCATTGATTTTAATAAAGGGACAGCTATTATGCTATGTCAAATTCTCAGTCAGTGTGAGATGTAGATCATTATGGCCTTTAATACTTCAATAGATTTCAAGACAGAATGCTTATTAGGTAAAAGGGGAAATTCTACAGAAATAAGAGATGGAGATACCATATGATACCTTAGGCTTTAACAGAACAGGAGAGTCTTACAAACACACTGTGACCCAACATAAGCATTTGGATGCTATGCTGCTAAATTAGAGGGAACCGAAAAAAATAAAGCCAACGTTCACTGAAGAGCTCATCTGGGGCCACTCCATTTCTTCAATAGGAAGCTGGCATTTTATGTCAGATATATGAATTATTGGAGCCACTGCTCTGCAGAAACTCTTTTAGATAGCTTTTGTGGAGGCAAGTGCAGCATGTCGAGGATTATTCCTAGGCACTAAGGGTGTCTGGCCAGGAACAGCCTGTGCCCACGCTGTCACGCTTCTCTGTCCTCTAGGAAAAGAAGGCTATGGCCTATGGCTCCATCCTGAATAGTGCCTGGCGATATTTGGGAGTGTGACAACTGGCACAAGATAAAATCCATGTCGTGACCATTCTGATAATTTAAACAATCTGGTTCCAGAGTTTCAAAAAGCTCCCTGATACTGTACAACTTGCTAGTACAGATGCACTCTGTGGTTTGGTGTGGGCTATGTGTACATCAGTAAGCAAAACACAGTCTAATTCATATTGCTTGATTGTTGAGACATTCTCTGCCATCCTTTGGCCCAGGCAGCTGTCTCCTGCATAAGTCTCAGCACAGTTCATGGGATAGTGCATACCCTGTTTCTAGCAGAGGAAGAGGAATGTCAATATGGGCTGTGGTGTGCCAGTAGGATCAAGAGTGTGCAGCATGTGGTCCTCCTCCTGTGAGTTCTCTATGGCCTATGATACAAAATCATTTCATAGGATCTTCTACATTTCCTTCACCTAGAGCTCTTTTGATTGAGATCTGCTTGGAAACCCTCGGAGCTCAAGTGAGTTAACAGTGTCAATGCTGTTAACAGTGGCTGGTTCATTATCTGATCTCTTTTTTAAAAGGTTATTTTGTGAAGGGAATCAGACCAAAATTATCAGTAAAAACTCATAGTGAACCTTTTCCAAATTATATCTATCTATTTATCTATCTGGAAAGTATACTTCAGCGGTTTGTGATTCAAACTATGACAAAAAAACCCCAAAAAACAAAAACAAAAATAGAAGACTGCTTAGAAAATTATCCTGTATACATCAAAAGAGAAATCCCTAAATTTTATTATTCCAAACACAACACAAAGTTCTGCCGTCTGAATCCTGAGAGCAGAATATAACACCAAATCTTGAGTGGTTCATGCTCTTGCAGAAGCACACATTTCTTCCAGCCTTCCTGTTCCAGTAAAACAATACCCTGTGGATATGGCATATCTGCTGAAGGTGGTGGATCGTAGTTACAGCTAAGCAGTATACTCCTCTCATCTGATCTAAATGTTGCAATAAAGGGTTAAAAAATATGAACAGGTTGTTAATGTTTGGGCAGAAATGGCTGATTTACTAAACCATAAAAAATGTTTTCTCCGGTAATATGAAATATGAATACCCTATAAAAGTGCCTGAATTATTTGAATTTTAAAATGTAAACTTTTGAAATTCAGTTTTATTGATGCAGTATATGCTCAGGATTATTTCCTCTGTATTTTCAGAATAATATTATCTGTATTATTATTAATAATGATTAGTTTAAAATATTATTTTATTAGATGGAAGAGGTTATTGATGACATAATCAATATGGAATCAAGTTTTAATGATGAAGGGATAGGTTGCTCTGAAGCTCCTCTACTAATGCAAAGAACTGTAAGTATTTTGTGGAACTTGGTCTTGCTTGGTTTATAACAAAGAATTTCATTAAGTAAGTAAGTGATTCAATTATACGTTATACTTCAGAAGCTAAAGAAGTAATATCAGTGGATTTATTCTCCTTTCTCTTGAGTTACTTGTTATTTATTAAAAAGGATTCTAATGTAGTGGGATACATACATTTTAGCTGGTCTGAATCACATATTTTAGCCCAGCTCCAGGTCCAGTGTGTAGGTGCCTGGAAGTAATAATTTTGTGGCAGGAATATGGATATAAAGATTCTCCAGACCCATGAAGGTCTTTTAAAGTCTTTCTTTGAGATGCCCCTGTCTTATCTCAAAAAAAAAAAAAAAAATCTCATGTAGCAGTAGGTATTTTCTTTGGTGTGTTATATTGAAGTAAGGATGGCTCTTTTTGTTGGCTTTCATAAAGACACGTTGCACATATGTTGAATAATTGTAAAGGTGAGAAATATAACTTTTCAGATGAAGTGCCTCATTGAAATAATGGTAACAGAACACTGTAATTGTGTCATCTCTTTTTGTAAAGGAATGACAAAAAAATAACAGTGTACTTAAATTTTCATGTATGATACATGTTTTTCAGAGATAGTGTAGACCTTTTATGGACAAAACAACTTATTAGTTGGTAAAATAACATCCGCCAAATAACCTTAGTGCAACATACTTCATAGAGGAGATGTTCTCTGGCCTCCCAGTCCTTATTTTTTTGGGAACATTTTTCCACAGATTTTGTTCTCAAGGCCCTAATTTGTTTATTCATGAAGGCAAACTTCATCCTGGGGAAGGCAGAAGTGTTTTCCACAGTCTTTGGCAATCTACAGAACTAATTTTGGAATACATAGCTAAATGCTTTTCTTAATCAGCTACTAGAGGAGTATCTTTTTTTTTCCTGACTACAGAGCACCACTGTCTACAGGGCAGTGATGATGCCTTTAGCAGATGATGCTTGTACATCGCTGTGTTATCCACCACAAGGTGCAGAGTGGCAATTAATAATTAACATGAATGCCTGGCCATCTGTATGCCAGTTACAAAACCAATACAGTCAGTAATAATATAATCAGTTTTATTTATACATACCTAAATGCAGAACATACCAAGGAAATGTTCCTAGGATGTGAATTAATAATTTTCCTTAAATTAACTCGAGGCAGGGAGGATCCATTCTGCTGTGGTATGGCATGATGGTGATGGGAAGCAGGAATTCTCTGGTTTGGATTGGACTCATACTCCCTCAAAACCTTTTAAAAATGGATGATATTAATCTTTTCTGATTCTGGACTTAGACTTTATCTTCAGCCATGAAGGACATATGTGAAATGCATTGAATGCTCTGTTGTTTAAGAGCAAGGTAATAAAGACTTTTAGGCCCAAGTTGTATCCTATTTGAAAGAGTTGAGACTCTTATAGTGCCTCTGGGTTGGAAAATGTTACATACTCTTTTTCTTATGCTAAAAAGTTCCCAGACTCCTAGCTAAACTATGAAAATAAAGTGTTTTCTAAAATTGCCAACTGCAATATTGTGGCAAAATGAAGCCTGCTCTCGACAGGGCCTGTGAACTGTACCAGTGTGTAAAGAAGTCCAGCAACCTTTCTGTTTCTTCCATTTTCTCTTTTGGCAACCTATACTCAAAAAAAAAAAAAAAAAAAAAAAAAAAAAAAAGACCATATGGTGGTGAATTCAGGTGTTTGACTATGCGCATATGGCTTATGACTCATTATTTTGTCCCACCATCCCTCAAAACATCCTCCTGGGTAAGCTCTGGAAGTGTGGGATAGATGAGTGGACAGTGAGGTGGATTAGAAATTGGCTGGATTGCAGAGCTCAGAGGGTGGAACAGGCTGCCAAGAGATGCTGTGGAGTTTCCTTCTCTGGAGATCTTCAAAACCCTCTTGGACGCAGTCCTGTGCCACGTGCTCTAGGTGATCCTGCGTGTGCAGGGGGGTTGGACTAGATGACCTCTAGAGGTCCCTTCCAACCTTGAGGATTCTATGATTCTGTGGTTCTATGCCTCTGAGAAAAGGAATGTTGGTTCTATTGTCCTTAAACAGTCTTATACAAAGGTTCATATCAGCTCTTCAATCTTTCTGCAAAAGCTTTGCTATGATATCAGCTATCAGCATAATGTGAGAACACAAACAAGACCAAAGAGCCCCTAAGGCTGTGTGACTCAGCAGTTCATTCCTCCTTATCCTGGGCAATGTCGAAGTAGTCCTCAGGTCATGTCTTAGCTTTTTCTTTCCTTGGAATTTTCTTGAATTTCCCTGGACTGTGCATAATCTGTAAAATTATGAAAAAAATCTGAATCTCCTGGTTTTCTGAATATGTATCAGGTTGATCTTTTCATTAAATTGGTTGCTTGACCAAGTCCAAACTCATGAAGCAATTTGCTTTTCTAATTTTTCTCGGTAGATGGTGGGTAAGATTAGGGATTTTGTGAGGCTAACCATTGTGTGTTGTTATGAACTAATGTTTACCTTAGTTAAATGCACCCTCGTACCATTTTAATGGGCACATTAAATGAGGACATAGAATTCTATGAGACTACTCATGTGAATAATTGCCCAGAGTTTCACTGTTTGACCTTGAATTAATGAATTACAGCCATT